TCTATCTATCTATCTATCTATCTATCTATCTAATATATATTTTGGTTTTTCAAGACAGGGTTTCTCTGTGTAGTTTTGGTGCCTGTCCTGGGTCTTGCTCTATAGCCCAGGCTGGCCTCGAACTCAGAGACCTGCCTGGCTCTGCCTCCCAAGTGCTGGAATTAAAGGCGTGCGCCACCACCGCCTGGCCCTTTATTGCATTTATTTATTCATGTAGGTGTGTGTGTGAATGCTTGCTGCTTCTTTTAAGCTCATTTGGTTGCCCTCTTCTGTATAAGTGCTACCTGCACATCAGTTTCTTCCATGCAACCCCACATTGTCTGTTGCTGAATGCTTATGTTAATGAATATACTAAAATGTCCAAACTTGTTTTGTCTATTATAGTACATGCTGGGTCCATGGGTCCCTAAAAGTTATGACAGTTCCTTTTCATAACTGCCCAGATGAATGTTGGACATTGAGAGCAAATGCTTTTTAGAGATAGAGGATGAGGTGGTGTAAAGAAGCTGCTAATTTTATTCTGAAGCAGGAGGCCCTGCAGAAGTCATCTGTGTGCTGGACACATTTTGCAGTTACTGTCTATGTGTATTTGTGCTTTTGCATATGGAAGTCCTAACAGGCCTCTCCGGGTTTTGCCTCCCTTAGGGAAATGTGTCTCTGAAGGAGCTGAACGCCCGCCCCATGGAAGTGTTCATGTGCAGCGTGCTCAAGAGGCAGGGTTACGGCGAGGGCTTCCGCTGGCTCTCCCAGTACATTGACTGACGTTTGGACGGTGACAATAAAGGTTGACTTCTGGACTGATCCTGTTCACAGCTTCCCATGGACTTTTCTAATAGGACAAGGAAAGCTCTCCAACCATGTCTGGCATTGAAAAGCCATGCATCTCTGTCTACGCTCATCGCCCAGTGGTGACATGTGCTCTTCTCCACTCGTGGGAAGTAACACTGCCTGTCTGCTGGTGCAGGTCAGTGTCAGGGACTTGGGCTGGCAGGATTTGCCAGGGAAAGCCGGGTGCCATCATGGAACACCCGGAAAGAAAAACACGTCTCACCACTGGTTGATTTCAAAAGAAAGTGATTCTATTTTTTAAAGAAAGTGTTGTTAATGTAATTGGTATCCCTTCTCTAACTTTTGAGTTCACAATTTACTTGGTCCAGATTTTCTATTCTTTTTTTTTTTTAACTAGTAAATGAAATTTAGATACTTCATAAAATTATGAACAGATAGCGCACTGGAGGCCAGAGCTCCGCTGTGTACCTGCCTTGTTGGAGGTGGCACCTGAGCACAAGTGTGCTAGGAGAGGACGGAGCCTTGGCCTTTCCTGGGGTGGTCTCCACGGTGGTCAGGGGAGTGAGTCCCTCGTCTGGAGTGGGAAGTGGCATTGTCACATTGTCAGCTTTACTTGCAGTCAGCAGTTGCAGCAGGCTTCGCTTTTATACTGTTGTAGAGTTTCCTCTCTGTAGCACCTTCCTTTTTCACTGTAGCTCTAAAACGTGACTTTTGCCTCATGAAAGAGTTAAGAACATCTCTCATGTAGACCCCATGCTGAGAGTGTGTCTCCGAAGCTTTTGAACAGATAGACAGTTCTGAACAGGACACAGGTCCAAGTCAGCAGCTTAAGGCTCTGAATTCTGAGTAGAAGACCTTTCCATCGGCTCTGCTCGCAACAAGTGAACCTAGGAAAGACTGTCAGTGGGCTCCATGTTTTCCACTCCAGAAAAACCGGAGAAAACGGGAAATGGCCTTGCTGTCTGGTTTTGTGGGCAGCTCCTGGCAACAGTGAGCACTAGTGTGAAGGAAAACAGCAGCAGCTCTGGGAGAATTATGGACCTGATTCTTAGAGCATTTGGTTTTCTTGATGTTAACTCTGTATTCTACCCTTGTAGAAGAAGGTTGGAGGAGAAAGGAGGGGATCTTGATTCTTCCTTCCTTTATTGCAAGGTGAGAGGTAGGTCCGAAGTGAAAATGCTGCAGCTGCCGCGTGGTGACAGGCCCCCAGCCAGAGTGCAGGGAAGGTGGGAAGCACACTCCTGGGGAGTGAGGGAGCTCCTACTCTTTAGTTTGGAGCACTGAGCTCGTGGGACAGTGTTCTCTTCCACTGCCAGATTCCCAATGCAAAGGCTTGGTGAGGTATCTTGTCTGCAAAGTGCACGCTTTACAGTGTTCATCTACAAATAGCTGGAGTGAGAGCTGTCCGTGTGGAAAGGTTGTCAAAGCCTTCCTGAAGGAATCGAGCTGGCAGTGAGAACTAGGGTAGGGAACGGGTGTGCTTTTCATTCCTTTTGGCTAATGGCTGTCCGTCCGTCTCTGTCCAGGCACGTGACAGGTGTGATGGCCTCAGTGTTGGTTTCCTTATTTGTCTTGCGCATTTGTCCCGAATTGCCCTGTAGCAAGCTGGAGGACTGGACTCTGCCCAGGGCGGCTCTTTGTGAAAGTGGTTTATTCTGGCCACTGGAGAAAGAGATTACTAAAAAGTGGCACCAGTCTGTTTCCTGCCCCACAGACACCATCTTAAAAAAGGTGGTCAGAAGAAGCTGCTGCAGTGAGCACAACTCCACCAGAGGGGCAGGGACCTGTCCAGGGCCTCAATGAACTGAGACTCTTCATTCTGTTTATCAGAGTGCACATGTGTCCTATTTCAGCAAGAGTAAAACTGTCATTTACAAAAGGTCAGTCTGTATCCTAAGCATTTTAATAAAAAGCTAAAATGAACTTGCCTTTTTCCCTCTTCTCTTGCATTGATTTGTTCTGAATGAACGTGCAGTTTTACAACTGTGTTGGGAAGAAAAACAAAAGTTCTTTCCTACATATAGGGAGGAACATTTAGAGTGAATCTGAGACTTGAATTGCTATCAGGATAAAAGACAAAATAAAAGGGTGGGCACTAGTTAATAGCAAATGTGTGCTGTTGGAGCATCTTGGCTCATGCTGTGGGCCTGAGACAGAATGGTGGTGACTTGTGCTTGAACATGCCAGACTAACAGCCCTCATACCACAGCACTGGAGTGAATCATTACAAAGCCATACTCGGCAAAACAGAAGTCTGATTCTGTGTTTACAGTTGCTCGTAGAAAGTATCTGAGGACAGAGAACAAAAAACAAAACAAAAAACAAACAAAAATCACCCCCCCACACCCCACCCCCCCCCACCCCCCACCCCCGAAAAAAAAAAAAAACAAAACCCAGTAGGTTTTTGTTTTTGTTTTTCAAGACAGACTTTCCTGGCTGTCCTGTAACTTACTCTGTAGACCAGGCTGGCCTCAAACGCAGAGATCTCTGCATCCTGAGTGCTGGGATTAAAGGTGTGCACCACCACCACTTCCCAGCCACAACAGGGTCTTTAAGTCAAAGGACCATGCTGGATGTGCCCTGTGGTCATCATTACAGTGGAAAAAGACTATGGTTCTGTGGGCAAAGGACATGTTTGCTGGGGGCAGAGAGGAGCCTGAGTGTGAGTCTAGTACTGAGGTCCTTAACACCGGCTGCTGCTGGCTGACTTTGACTTCTGTACTGTGGTCTGTTCTAAACAGAAAAGCTTGGTAAGGAACGGAGGGTGCTGGGGGCTTGAGGGGCATTGAGGGAGAATTGTTGGATTCTAGAGAGAAAGTGTCAATTGCCAGGAAGTTGGGGAAGTAAGAGATCTTGTGGTCATCTGTGTCGGCCAACCAGGACTGCCTACCCTGGGAAGGCTGCTCTGTTCCGTTTCTGCCCTGATCCTCCATTTTCCCTTCTCAGGTTTGTATCACCGGGAGCATTTGGAAGCATTAGGTGTGCTGATTGGGAAAGCAACATCACAGTATTTTATTCAGAGAAGTTATACAACAAAACAGCAAATGGGTCTTTTTTTCACTAGTGCTCACAGATATGCTAGAAGTCTTACTAGACATTGACGCACGTGTTAGTGATTCAAGCACTGCTCTGGGGAGGCTCATGAAGTCTCTCCAAACATACCTATTCTCACCTGTGCTCAGCCATAATTTGGAAAGTGGTGAAGTTTTTATCATTTTTATTGTATTTATGTGTATGTGTGTTTGCCTGCCTGAGTTTATGTACAGCTCGAATGCAGGAGACAGCAGGTGTCAGAATTGGGCATTGGATACCCTGGGACTGTAATTAGAAGCAATTGGGTACTGGGACCCAAACTAGGGTCTATGGTAAGAGCATTATGGCTCTTAACCACTGAGTGCTCTCTCCAGTCCTGATTTTTACACTTGTGATACGAACTATGTATGAAATTCGAATTTATGAGGCTGTTTGGGTTGTGTGCTGAGTATTTGGTGGTGAATACCGCATAGCCCACAGAACCTGACCTGTTTTCATCTGGACTTTTAAAGACAAAATATTTACCCCCTGGTTTAACATAAATCCTGAGTGGTGGTTAGAAATGTCATGTGAAATGTGCATGCTTGTTAGTATAATCTATGGCTAAATAACCTGTGTGTGGTAGTGCACAGCTTCAATCCCAGGACTGTAAAAGGCCGAGGAAGGCAGAAGGATCGCCAAAGTTCGATGCCAGTGTGGACTAAATAGCGGGACCCTGTCTCAAAAACAAATGATTCTAAAGCTAGATTGGTGGTGTGGGAATTTTGATAGCTGTCCTAGGAGTAATTTTGGGAGTGGTGTGCCCCCTGGTGGATTGTTACAGGATTTACTTTAGAAATCAGAGTAGATCATCCACCAAGGGTTCCTTTGGCCCATATGGCTCAGCTTCAGGGATAGAGGCTGCTTACACCTCTGCAGAGGCTGTGGGGACCAGTTACATGCTGTCAAGTACGAGATTCGACTGGGGAGTACGGTCCTTGTCGGTATCCCTGTGATGCTACACGTCTGTCGCCCAGGAGCTTCCTCCTGAGAACCTCTTTCCCAAGGGTCCCAGGTTGGATAAACCAGAGGGCGGGGAGAGGAGGATAAGCACCAGTAGCCAATCGGTACTCGGCGCTATGCCCAGCCAATGGGGGCGGTCGCTTGGGGCTTAGCCAATCGGGCTAGACGAGGAGACCTGAGTCAGCGCTTGCGCCGGTCGCCCTGAGGTGACAGCTGTTGTGCGACGCTTTGGGGAAACCATGGGACGGCAGTGGGGTCCCTCCATGAAGGTGGCGGAGCAGGCGGGCTGTGTGGTGAGCGCCTCGCGGGCCGGGCAGCCTGACGCAGGCTCGTGGAGTTGCAGCGGGGTGATCCTGAGCCGCAGCCCAGGCCTTGTGCTTTGTCACGGGGGCATCTTCACCCCCTTCCTGCGGACGGGCAGCGCGGCGCTGACCCGGACGGGTGCCACCTTCCTGCCGGGCGACAGTTGCAGCGATGACCTGCGCCTGCACGTGCAGTGGAGATCTACGGCTGCCAGCCCCGCCGGTCGCGCGGAGCAGGAGCTCCCGGGGCTGTGTACGCCTCAGTGTGCGAGCCTGGGCCTCGAACCCGGCGCCGCCAGCCGGGCCCGCGCACGGCCTCTACAGCCCCCGCGGCCCGCGCAGCTGCTGTTGCTGCTCAGCTGCCCGGCCTTCCGCTCCCACTTTGCACGGCTCTTCGGGGCCGAAGCGGCCGAACAGTGGCACTTCGTGAGCTCGGCGCCCGACGACGCGGTGTCGGAGGAGGAGGAGGAAGACCAGCTGCGTGCGCTCGGCTGGTTCGCGCTGCTGCGGGTGCGGCCCGGAGCGGCGGCGGCGGCGGCGGCGGCAACGGTG